CCTCTTGCTAAACCCTGCACTTTCAACTTTGACTGTTCCCTGAGAGAAAGATGACGTCTGTATCTGCCTGAAACAGGTAACTGCAGTCCTGAAGCTCTGAAAATTCTCCTCCCAGAAATGTAAACTAAAGACTTGCCTCTGGGCCTGGCCATCAACCATGCCACCTCACCATGGCCCCCGCTGCTGTCAGATGTCATGGGAAGCACAAACAGGCATCTATCCGAGCATCAGTCTGATAGACTGACAGACTGTTAATCACCTCGGGCAAGCTCTCTGTGCTGTCTGACTCATACAGCCTTTTTGGACTGTTCTAGATTTAAAAGATGCCTTCCTCTGCTTGTGAGCTGCTCCCATCAGCCCCTGCAACTGGGAAGATCCTGAGATAAAAGGCCAGCTCACTTGGTCTCAATTGCCACAAGGGGTTGAGAACTCTCCCACTATTTTGGGGGTGGCTCCAACAACAGATTTGGCGAAGCCACCAGCATCTTTTCTCCTAGGTGTCTCTGTCCCTCCCAGCTCCGTCATGGTCCCCCCAGCAAACAGTGTAGACTGTCAAACTGCTAAAATATACCTCTCGTGTCTGTAAAGCCAGTTCAAGATCTCTGAGCTGCCAATGCCACCACAATTGCCCTCCATATATGTTGCCTCAGTCTTCCGCCACCCACAGCCTGGTGGTACACCTGCCCCAAAAAATGCCTTTTTCTGCCTTCAACTGGCTCCTATCAGCCAGCCCCCCTTCACAACTGACCTGGACTCAACCTCCCAAAGGTTCAAAAACTTCTTCCCTCTTTAAAAAGCACTTCCTATTAATGATGCCTCCAAGCTGCCTGCTGGAAAGACACACAAGCTCTGTTGTAAAATCTGGCACAAACTGGTTACAAGAAAGAAACTCCACAGATTTCTTGGAGCTGCTGGCTTCTATAGAATCTGGATCCCTGAATTCACAAAAAAAATGATGCTTACTCAGATGGTCAGCCCTGGGTGCACCCAGTGGCCTACCTATGCAAATACTTGGATCCAGTAAGGGGTGCCTCCTCCTCTGCTCTTGCGCTCTAATAGCCACTGTCCTTCAGATCAAGAAAGCTGACAAAGCCGGGCATGGTGGCGTACGCCTCTAATCCCAGCACTTGGGAGGCTAAGGCAGGAGGATCGTTGTGAGTTTAAGACCAGCCTGAGCTACAATGTGAGCTCAAGGCCAGCCTGAACTGCATATCGAGACCCTGTCTCAAAAAGATAGAAAAAAAGCTGACAAGCTCACCTTAAGCCAAGACCTAACTGTCCTGGTGCCACATGCTATGCTGGACCTCACTCAGTGCCAAGGACTCATACAAAAATCCCCGCCTGACTCTTTTGGTGATAAAACCACTCAATACCTGCCCCATACCTGCCCACAAAGCTGGGCCCAATGGACCATAACACCTGGCACTGTCTGATAAACTATTCTCAAGCCGATCAGACTTAGAAAACATACCCATGTAACAGATGCTAAGTACATTCTGTTTATAGATGGAAGTAGCTCTGGTTAGGAATGGAGTCTGACAGGCTAGATATGCTGTGGTTATCTTGGACAAAACTATTTTGGCCAAAATTTTCCTGCAGGGATGATCTGCACAGCAAACTGCTTCCTGCTGCTGTTTGGAAACCTGCCACCAATGATGCAAAATAATCCGCTCCAAGGCTGGGCGTGGTGGCACACACTAGTAATCCCAGCACTCGGGAGGCTGAGGCAGGAGAATCACTGTGAGTTTGAGACCAGCCTGGGCTACAAAGTGAGCTCAAGGCCAGCCTGGGCTGTATATCGAGACCCTGTCTCAAAAAGACAAAAAAAAAATCCACTCCAGAGTCCTAGGCCCCCTCTGGAGATCCAACTGACTGAAACATCAACCCCAGCCATCAGACCTGCCCTCAATGTATGTTCTGCAAGCTCAAGCCATTGCGCTGGCACATGTACCACTGCAGGCAGCTCAGATTTTAGCGTCTGTGTCATGGGACCCAACCTCCCATTCCCTACCTGTACTGAGAAGACAATAAAAGTTTGTAGGATCCTGCTGTAAAAAGTCATTCCTATATAGGGCCTACCCTTGATCACGGGCAGAGACAATGGGCTGGCATTTGTAGCAGAGGTAATTAAAAACCTACATTAAATAAAAACTACATACAGTACACAGGCCACAAAGCTCTAGAAAGCTTAAAAAACAGCTTGTAAGTCACACACATATAACCCAGGTACATATTAACTACATCTACAAGTTTCAGAAATCCAGCCTTAGCTCTGCTAAAAAATTTACCTGGACCAGAAGCACACTCTGAAGAGATGATGCATTCAAAGCCTTGCTACTGTCACTCCTGATGCTGACAGATCAACACACAGCTGAAGCCTGAGGACATTGTTCACAGGATTGCTCCATACCTATTCCCCTTGATTTCTGTGTCTTTTCAAGCTGCTTACCCAGTCCTTGCTTCCTTGCTCCCTGCGAGCTGTGATTTTCTCCTTAAACTCTATAGATGGTTGCCCCAAGAGAAGAGAACAATCAATCAAACACTTGAGTGTCCAAGGCACACTGGACACTCCTAGGTCAGATTAACTCCTTCACTCCATTGTCAGAGTCTTAGGGAGAAACCCTATAGTAAGGGAAACAAACCACAAACTCCTCACAAAAAAAACTTTCAGTCTTGGGGACCTTGGCTAGGACCATTGACAACCCTAATGCTACTGCTTCTAGTTGGGCCTTGTCTCAAAAAAGCACACATAATACGCCCAGCAAAGACTCACCAGAGAAACTAAAAAGGGGAGAAAATGCAACAGAAAATGCTCCCCCACCCCCAACCAGTATACTTCAGTTTTTAGTTGCCCAGGTAATAGTTCCTTTCCAGTTCCAGTTGCTCCTGTCTCTTAGAGATGGCTGGTCACTGTGATGCACAGTGTATAAACCAATCCCCAATTCACAAGCCATTCTGCCTCTGTGCTTCCTGCTTGCTTATCCCATAAAAGCCCTAGACTGCCAAAGATCAGGGCCTGATATTTTAGGAGGGATCCCAATTAGTGCCTGTTGACATAAACAAATCTTCCTCTAAATCCCAGGTGTCTTTTTTGGTGCTTCTAATTGCCATTGCAGTCAAACAGTACTTTTATTAACTGACAATTTTTAACAATCCAACCCCGTCTTGATAGTTCTATATTAGGATTTTTATATGCACACCAACTGTAACTCTTTGGCCCTAATAATAATTAACTCTTCTCAGCATCTGAAACTCTTCCTGTTCCTCCTAAAGGAGTATTCTTTTTTGATTAAGAATCTTTCGGCAGGTTTCTACAAAGCTTCAGCAATATCATTAAGCTGTTGTGTTTCACGTTCAAGCAAAAATAACTAATGTCTATTTCTAATATTCCTGTGGATGGTCTAAATAGAGTTTTTCAGCTGGGAGTGGTGTGCACATCTGTAATGCTAGCATTTGGGAGGCTGAGGCACGATGACTACTGCAAGTTCAAGGCCAGCCTAAACTACATTGTGAGATCCTGTCTCAAAAATCAAAAACAAAACAAAAAGAACCCTTTTAAAGGTATGCATATTAAGCTGTAATATGCATACCAAACAACAATAAGGAAAAAGAACTATTGTCACTAAAACTATATACTTTAGTTATATAGAAGATGAGAATCAGTGCTGATAAAAATAATTTTCTCTCTTTGAACTCTGCTTCAGTCTACAGCAATACCACCCTGAACTTTGCTTCACTTTTCACCAAAATAATCCAACCCTCCAGCAGACAATATGAAAAGCAAGGAAAGGCAGGTGTGGTGGCACCACCTGGATCCCAACACTTGGGAGGCTGAGGAAGGATGAGCACCAGAAGTTTGAGGCCAGTCTGGACTATACAGTGATTTCAAGGTCAGCCTGGAATACATAGCAAGACCTTGTCTCAAAAGTAACAAAACAAAACACAAACAAAAAAAAAGAAAAAGAACAGCAAGGAAGACCCCTTACCCAGGTCTAAATCCAGTGATAAGCCATGAACCGTTGAACGGCATCACCAAGGATGAGGCAATTTAACACCAGAATTCGAAAACTTTGCAGCTAGCTAATACTTCAGTGTCCCACACCTCTATCACCTTTGGTGTCAGCTTAAAATATACTCTTTTCACCTACGCTTTTATCTCCTCCCTAATTCAACCTCACTGCTAAAAATCCCTCTACATAGCCGGATGTGGTGACACACGTCTGTAATCTCAGTACTCAGGAGCCCGAGGATCATCATAACCTACACAGAGAGACCCTTTCTCAAAAAAGAAAAAATTAAAAATAAAATAAAATTCCCTCTACTCACAAATTCTTTTTTTTTTTTTTTTTTTGGTTTTCCTCCGGTACCGGGAACCGAACTCACGACCTTGCGCTTGCCAGGCAGGCGCTTTGCCGCTGAGCTAAATCCCCAGCCCCTATCACAAATTCTTCTATTCCACTTTTCTGGAGCTTTGCTTGTGATAAATGACTTTACCCTTAACATCATTAATGAATATTCCTCTCCACATCCCAGCTTTAACTTCTGAAGATGACTCTTGCTTATTCTTTCTCAGTGGAGGCTATTTGTTCTCCCTGTTTTCACAACTGAGGTTAGGTGCTGGGCTCAATATGCTCCCCATTACTTCCCAATTGTTATTCCTTTATATTGCAAATGCTGAGTTCAAAACACTTCTCTTCCTAGTCTTTGTTCACTATGCCACATTCATTGATAACTTTAGCATCTAAATCAGTGTGTCTTTCTTCCCTGATTTAAAGGGCATTAGAAGAAAATATTCTTTCCACACCTAGTGAGGGAAACAGGGTAAATATAATGAAGACCACTGCCCATACTAGAGAAGCCTGAGGGCTGGGATGTAGCCTAGTGGCAGTGTTTACTCAGCAGATGCAAGGCCCTAAGTTCATTGCACACATAATACGCCCAGTATGGGGTACGGGGTCCTGTTTTCTCTGTACTCATAGGATCCACTTTAGAAAACTTACCGCATCAAATATTAAGGATTTGATGTCTTCAGCTGCTCCTGAAATATCCTTGTGAATAAAATTTACATTGTCCGGCCATTCTTCTGCATGACTTAATTTCCATGAATCACGCCAGTGTTTGTAATTCTTCTTAGCCACATCATGATGGTCTTTCCGTATTTCAAAACTTATGACCCGTCCTTGAGATCCAACTAAAGTAAGATAATTTATGATATTTCACAGTTTATTTTAAAAAGTGTCGAGCATTTATTCTGCTAAGACACTAAACATGCAGAAAAACATTTAAACAGTTCATGGTTACCGAAGTGATCCTTGATCCCCATCAATCTTCCTTAGAGGCAGCCATATTACCACTCACCCTTCCATGCTAGTTGGTGCCAATGCAAGTGTGCAGGGAACTGGTTTCTAACACATCGAGAACGAAACACACTGTTCCATACCTTCTTTCTTCCTTACTATGTCATTTCAGCAGCTACATTCCTTTTAACAGCCCACCGTGCGGCTCTCCCAAAATTTATCTAACCAGTCACCTACTGATGAATGTTTAGCCTACTTCTAGTCTTTTACTAATCAAACAATACTGCAAGGAACGTTCCTCTGCCTATGTTTCTGTAACATGAGCCAGTTTAACTCTGTAAGATAAAGGCCTAAAAATGGAATTGCTGGCTCAAGGGGCACGTGAATTTTTTGTTTTGAAAATACTAAACATTATCCTCCTGTCTTGGTTGCTTTTCTCTCGTTGCTGAGACAAAATACCTAACGCTCAAAATTAAGGAAGGAAAGGTTTATTTAGCTTACAGTTTGTGGAGGTTTCAGGCCATACTTGGCTGGCTCCGAGGCAGATTTAGCTCAGCGGCAAAGCGCCTGCCTGGCAAGCGCAAGGTTGTGAGTTCGGTTCCCGGTACCGGAGAAAAAACAAAAACAAAAACAAAAACAAAAACAAAAACAATAAAAAAAGAGGGGAATGGCAGCTGAACAGCGAACAGCCAGAGCAAAAGGGCAGAATGGCGCGAAGTAGCTTCTTTCCCTGCCTTACACTGTAAACAGGCTACCCCCACCTAAGGGGCATGTAGCTCTCACATAATCTCCATGCACTCCTCTTCCACAGGCTCAGGATGTATACAAAGTAAGCACCCTGGCTTCCTGCTGAGTCACTTAGCCAAATCTCTAGACTCCCCAAGTTGACACAATGTATCAACCATAACACCTCCAAAAAGTGGTATCAATTTATACTTCCAAAAATATAGTAGGGTAACTATTTTTCTAACCCTCACCAATAAAGAATTATCAAACTTTTTATGTATATCAATCTAAAAAAGTGAAAAAGAGGGGCTGGGGATTTAGCTCAGCGGCACAGCACCTGCCTGGCAAGTGCAAGGTCGTGAGTTCGATTCCTGGTATGGGGGGGGTGAGGGGGGGGGCAAATAAAAAGTGAAAAAGCTGAGTGTGGTGGTGCATGCCTATAATCCAGCACTCAAGAGGCCCAGGTAGGACGATTGCCATGAGTTAAAGGCCAGCCTGAATTATAAAGTGAGACCCTGTCTCAAAAAAAACTTATCATTGTAGTTTTAATTTGGATGAAGTTGAACCTTCATAATTTATTTTTTTAAGCTATTAAACAATACATCAGTTATTATTACAGATACATCCACACAAAACAACACACACCTGAGAGAACAGATCAATGCACTCTCAAACAGAGACACACAGGAAATACCACTGGGAGCAGGAAAGCGGCATGCTAATGGGGGACCCGGATGAAAGCTAGAAGCAGATAGTGGTACAGCCCAAGAGCCTTCACATATTTAAAAAGTATTTGTATTTCTACATGTCTGAAGTGTTTTCAGGTTTTTTTGTTTGTTTGGTTGGTTAGTTGTTTTTTTTGGTACTGGGACTCCAACTCAGGACCTCATGTTTCCCAGGCAGGTACTATGCCACTGAGCTACATCCCCAGCCCCTGAAGTAGTTTCAAATTGTTTAGCATAGTAAAATTGCAATTCCAGAGAACACTACTACATCTTAAGGCAGTTAATTTTCTACCCACCTCTGAGGTGATTTGATTCCATTTGGGGTCTCTCCCAGATCAATCTGTCTATGGTTTACTAAGGAAAATTTCAACTTCTAGGATGTGTTTTGAAATACAATTCTAGCTGCAACTCATCATGTTCTCAGGCAATAAAGTTAATGGTAATATAGGCTAAATGACTGGGAAAAATTAATGGAGAGAAAACCTTCAGCCCAATGGTAAATACCACTAACTTCTTGATCATTTGTGGTCTGGGATTATTCATGCCATGACAATCGTCTGACAACAGAAACAAGGCCACTTCTCCTATCTTACTCTTCTTTTCTTCCCATGGTCCTGGAGTTTGAACTCAGGGCCTTCACACTGAGCTACATCCCAGCCCTTTTTGTTTTGTGGTTTTTTTTTTTTGGTTTTTTTCTGGTACCAGGAATCGAATTCACGACCTCACACTTGCCAGGCAGGTGCTGTGCCACTGAGCTAAATCCCCAGCCCCAGCCGTTTTTGTTTTGAGATAAGGTTTTGCTTAGCTGCTAAACTGCCCAGGTAGCGCTGAAACTTGTGATCCTCCTACCTCCTCAGCCTCTTGTTGTACTGGGATTACAGGTACACCACCACGCCCAGCTATATCTCGCAAGTTTTTCTCTTTTATAAATCTACTTTCTCAAATGAAAGCATACATTTAGTAACTTGTCACTGATGTGAAGAAATGCCTGGCTTTAACTAAGTACAGAAGAGTCAAACAAAACATTTGAGGAGATCAGAAGGAATTTACTGATCTATTGTAATCCAGATTATGTTCGTATGTGACAGCAAAAGGTCAAAGAATAAAATGTGTAAGTTTAATGTCAGTATATTTCTATCTGTAAACTTTATAAAATCTACCCAAAGAGAATGCTGTGACTGTTTAGGGGTCTATTATTAGGTAAGGAAGGAAATGTGCATGGGTAGCCAGACCAGCCAAAGCAATCTGACCTCAAAACGGAGTAAGTAGTCAAAGGAGACACTAATAACTAGGATAACAATAACCAGACATGGGGTGGTAGAACATGAAATTTATGTTTACTACATACCTCTTGATTCTTGTGGGGTTTTTTGTTTTTTGGTATCAGGAATCAAACTCAGGACTTTGCGCTTGCCAGGCAGGCACTGTGCCACTGAGCTAAATCTCCAGCCCACCTCTTGATTTTTGATAAGGCATCTACTTCAAGCAGTACTTTTTCCAACTGACAATTTCAAGAGACTTTTTAAAAGACATTTTTCATAATCCAACTTTCACTTAATACAGATGAAGTATGCTTATTACATACTAATGACAGTGCTGTATTGTGATTCATTTATTTATGAATGCCAACTACAATCTTTTGTCCCTAACAGCATATAACTCTCTCTCAGTAGGGGCACTCCTGTTCCTCCTGTATCAGTGATGGCGAAGCTTTTAGAGAGGAGTGCCCAAACTGCAACCCATTTTCCACTTATTTACCACACAATGCCAACCCTGCAGTTAAACCTGAATGCTTGGATGCTGCAGTGCTGCTGAGGAGACTTGGCTTGCATGCAGAGAGGGTTCTGCGTGCCCGCTGACCCACAGGTTCGCCACCACTGTCACCTGAGTATTCGTCCAGCATTATTACTCAACAACATGGATACACATGCGCCAAAAGTGTAATACTCAGAGCAATGCTATTTGCAAGGTCCAACTCAGATGTCCAACAGTAGAACTGATCATTACAGTGTACAGTAACTAAAATGAAAGAACTGCTCTAAGTGATGGCTGAATCCCAGACGTAATGACAAAAATAGCCAGATACAAAAGGGTACATGCTGCATCATTCCACTGACACAAGGTGTAGAACAGGCAACACTAACTGCTGGTGACTGAAGTTAGGTCATGAGGAAGCATCTGTGCTGCAGGAATCTTCCTTACCTTCATCCAAGTAATAACTACGTATGCATGGTAACTATACAAAAGTTAACATCTGCCAGGTGTGGTGGTGCACACCTGTAATCCCAGCACTCGGGAGGCTGAGGCAAGAGAATCATTGTGAGTTCAAGATCAGCCTGGGCTACAAAGTGAGCTCAAGGCCAGCCTGAACTGCATAGTGAGACCCTGTCTCAAAAAGACCATAAAAAAAAATTTTAAAGTTAACATCTGTGCACATTTCAATAGCTATGTTATGTTCTGATAAGGCATACTTAAAGCCAAGCTTGGTAACGAAATCCCAGCACTCTGGAGGGTGAATAGGAAGGTGACAAGTTTAAACTGGGGCTGCTCAATACTAAGGCACTGGGTTCAATTTCCAGCACCATGGGTGCGGGGGAGGAATCTTAAACCAGGCATGGTGGTTGGTGCACACTTGTAATCCCAGCATGCCGAGAGACTAAACCAGGAGAATCACAAATTCAAACACTGAGTGCGGTGGTGCATATTTGTAATTTTAGTAGTCACGAGGCTGAGACAGGAGGATTGCCACAAGTTCAAGGCCAGCGTGGGCTACGTAAGCAGAGTCTGTCACAAAAACAAAACAACAAAAAGTATAAGTATTAAAAAGTGTGGAGCAAGTGAGAGGCAAAGAAAAGGGAGGGACTGTTAGAAAGTGTGATTAGAATACATGTACAACCAGAAATACACTTGCTTCCATTTGGTTTTGAGGACAGTGCTATCATAAAGATAGGTATGTCTTCTCTCTATTATGAACAAATTGAATGTCTTATCATCTAGATCTAGCTCACTTATCCCAACCTCTTACCTGCTTTGGATAAAAATAAACTCATTCCACCAGAGCCGGATCCAGCTTCTAAAACAGTATCACCTGGGTTGATATCCATCATCATGAGTACCATATTCACATCCTACGATGGAAATAGTGTGGGAGACTCAGTGACTAAGACATGCGTACTACATGCCCATTCTACACAATGTTTGAGAAGAGAAGGAAACAAAACAAACAAAAAACAGCCTGAACTCTGGCCCCATCAACCAAGGATTTGTATTTTGTGTGAAGAAGTAAGATTTAATGATCAATCAGCAACTGTGTGTGGTGGTGTACCCTGTGATCCCAGCACTTGGGAGCCTGAGGCAGAAGGATCAACATGAGTTCAAGGTCGACCTGGACTACACATCTTAGTGAAAGAGCCAAGAAAACAGAAGTCTATTCTCAAGGGCTTTCTACTGAATTCAAGGCCAGCCAGAAGTACATAAAGAGACTTTGTCTCAAAAAAAAAAAAAATTGGCAGCCAAGCTTCATGGCTATGTGCTGGTAGGCTGAGGAAGGGGTATCACAAGTTAGAGGCCAGCCTGAGCAATTTAGCAAAAGCCCATCTCAAAAGAAGAAAAAAAAAAGTGAGGATGCCAGGGCATGGTGGCACACGCCTGTAATCCTAGCACTCAGGAGGCTGAGGCAGGAGGATCTTTGCGAGTTCCAGAACAGCCTGGGCTACAAAGCGAGCTCAAGGCCAGCCTGAACTGCACAGCGAGAGCCTGTCTCAAAAATAAAAAAAGAAGATGTAGCTCAGTGATCCTTAGGTTTAATCCCTAGGACAGAAAAAAAATAATTCACAATTAAGGCAACATTTCAGAATTAGAAAAGTTATAGACAATAAGAACCATAGGAATTCAAAGGAAGAAGAAAGCAGCAGACTGCCCTAGCTCAAAGATGCAGAGACGAGAATTTATTTATTTATTTTTGCCTTTTTGAGACAGGGTCTCGCTATGCAGTTCAGGCTGGCCTTGAGCTCACTCTGTAGCCCAGGCTGGTCTCAAACTCACAAAGATCCTCCTGCCTCAGTCTCCTGAGTGCTAGGATTACAGGCATGTGCCACCATGCCCAGCTTTTCAGAGTGGAGAATTTGGAGAAAACAGGGCCGGGGATATAGCTTATTGGGCCAGGGATATAGCTCATTGGTACAGTACCTGCCTGGTAAGCCTGAGGTCGTGAGTTCGACACCTGGTACCAAAAAAAAAAAAGAGAGAGAGAGAAGAAAACAAAGACAGACTAGATACAGACATTAATGCCAGCATGAGACCTTTGAACCTGACCTGGCGAACAACCGGAGCATGTCACTGATACATTACAAATGGCATTTTATGAAGATTAAGCTGGCAGGGCAATCCAGGATGTACTGGAGAGAGATGAGAGGCAGGAAAGCCAGTCAGGAAGTTATCACATATCCTCTGCTTGAAACCCTGAACTTTTTTTTTTAACTTTTAATTTAGAATTAAGATATAAGAATAGATTGGAGGCTGGGTGTGGTGGAGCATGCCTATAATAATCCTACATAATAGGATTATATGCCTATAATCTCTGTACTCGGAAGGCTGAGGCAGGAGGACCACTGCAAGGTCCAGGCCAGCCCAGACTACAAAGTGAGTTCAGCTGGTCTGAACTGCATAGTGAAACCTTGTTTCAAAAAGACAAAAAAGAATAGAGGACCCAATTGCCAAATACTATAATTGCTTTTGTTAATGTAATAGGAATATTATGGATGATAGTAATAAGAGTTGTTTATTAAAACTTTACCACGCTGTAACTATGCAAACTGTTTTTACAATTATTTCATTTAATCAGAGTAACAATATGAGAAAAAATACCATCATCCCTGTTACAAAAATGAGAAATCACTAGCCAGGTGTACCTGTAATCCCAGCACTCAGGAGGGTGAGGCAGGAGGATCTTTGCAAGTTCCAGACCAGCCTGGGCTACAAAGTGAGCTCAAGGGCAAGCTCACATGCATGTCGAGACCCTGTCTCAAAAAAGACAAAAGAAAAAAAGGGAGAAACATCACATTGCTGGGCATGGTGGCACACATCTGTAATCTCAGCGCACAGGAGGCTGGGGTAGGAGGATCACTGAGAGTTCAAGGCCTAGCTGGGTGTGGTGGCTTACCCCCGTAATCCCAGCATTTGGGAGGCTCAGGCAGAAGAACCGTTGCAAGTTCAAGGCCAGCCTGGGCTAGAAAGTGAGCTCAAGGCCTACCTGAACTGTGTATAGAGACCCTGTCTCAAAAAGAAAAAAAAAAAAAAAGAGTTCAAGGCCACCCTAAACTACATATCAAAAAGAAAAAAAAAAAAAGAAGAGGAGAAATCACAGGTTGAGTAATTTGCTCAAGGTCACGCCACGGCAAAAAAAAAAAAAAGTCAAGTGTACTGATGTTGAACTCTAAAGTCCTTGATATTGACCATTACACCAAGAGAGAATTTTAAATGCTGGCAATTCTTTCAACATTTCCTCACTATTGAATCTTTCAGAGCTGCTAATAAGCAGCATATCAAATAAGTTTTTACTATCTTTCCTTTCTCCAGAAGGAGCTGCTGATAAAAATTCTAAAAGGAGGAGACTTTTAGGAGTCTTCTGCCTACTCACAACTAAGTTGCAAATGAAATATAACTTTGTGCAGATGAGTACTAATAAATAAAAAACAAATACAGTTCCGCTTGCAGAACATAAATATTTAATAGGTATAGTTGTCTAATTAAAGATGAAATGTATTTTCTAAAGTGCTGGACTAAGGCTTAAACCAAATGACACAGACACATAATTTCTAAACTATATTAGTCAAAAAGTTGCATTCCCAAATGTCACCCTTTCGGGCATCCACATCCCTTCCTTTGGGCCAGGCTCCTTGGGCAGTTGGAAAGCCCTTGAGAATGTACTTCTATTTTCTTGATGCTGTCAGATAAGATACAGAAACTCAATACATTATTTTCAAAAGATATTTGAACACAGTTATGCTTCTTGATATTTGGGTTACATAGTCTCAACAGGAGGAGTTTTCTAATTTGGATCCCACTATATAAACAATTTAACAATTTCAATCCAAAATGTAGGTGGAATAATATGTAAAATGATAACCATTGATAATTTCCTACCATTTTGTCTGTAATTTGCTAAGTCCCCCCTATTATTATGTTATCCTTCTTTTATTCTTTAAAAAAAAAAAAAAAAAAAAAATGTAGGTGGAACATGGGCATTTAGTCATTTCCTGCTCTTTCCAAATGCATTTGAGGTTCCCAGAAGAACCCTCCACAGTTATGAAATACCATTCTTCTACTAAGTTTTCTACAGTTATTTATTTGTTTTGTGATGTGGGGATTGAAGCCAGGGCCTATGTACTGAGCTATATTCATGGCCCTTGTTATTTTTTATTTTGATATAGGATCTCACTAATTCTCTAACTGCCTGGGCTGGGCTCAAACTTGCAGCCCTCCTGCCTTAGACTCCCAGAGTGCTGGGACTGAAAAATATTTACCAGCACACCTGGATAACTTTGGCTTTTTGATTTCTGTTTTTTGAGACAGGGTCTCACTCTGTAATTCAGGCTGGCCTTGAACTTACTATGTAGCCCAGGATGGCTTCAAACTCATGTCAGTTCTCCTGCCTCAGCCTCTTGAGTGCTGGGATTACCAGTCTGTCCCACCAGGTCCAGGCCCAGCTAACTCTGGGCTTTTGAACAACCATTCTAGACTTAACTTTTTTAAAGAGGAATTCTAACCTCTTTCCTGATTAATTCAATGATATGAATCTAATCCTCACCCTAAGGTTTTGATATTTAAGTTGCAGTTTAGCCTTCATTAAGTGTTAGCAATTTTACTCTCCAACTATCCTTATGTAAGTTATAATTACGTGAATCAGCAGAAAAGATTAATTAGAAAATTTGTGGATTGTTGCCATTTACAGATCTAATCCAAATTAAAAGTGCCTGATAGTAGGATATGATGGCACACACCTGTAATCCTAGCATGCCAGAGACTGAGGCAAGAGGATCACTGCAAGTTTGAGGCCAGCATGGGCTAAAAAAAAAAAAAGAAAGAAAAAGAAACTGTAAATTTCCCTCAAGAATTTAGATACTCTGACCCCACTAGTCTAATGCCTCTGGGGAAAATTTCCAGAGTCCTGGAAAAAACTTTTTTTTTTGGTTGGGGGTGGGTAGGTTGAGACAGGATCTTCCTCTGCAACCCAGGCTGGCCTGGAATTTGTGATCCTCCTGTCTCAGCCTCCCAAGTGCTGGGATTACAGGCACGGGCCACCATACCTGGCCACATTACTTTAATAAATTGGTATAATCTTCACAAATACCAAATGACAATTAAACCGTGTAACACACCGCTGTAACCCCCGCACTTTGGGAGGCCTAGGTAGGGCCCTGGGTTCAATCTTCAGTTGTTTTGAAACAAACAATGGTTGTTTCCTCTTTTTTTTTTTGCAGACAGTCTTGCTATGTAGTGCAGACTGGCCTTCAACCCGCTTATGTAGCCCAGGCTGGCCTCGAACTCACTGCTATCCTCCTACCTCACCCTCCCTAGTGCTAGGATTATAGGAGTGCGCCACCATGCCCAACTTGTTTCTTCTTAAAATTAGCAATATCATGTTATATCCATTATCATAACGAAAAATGTAACTGGGTGGTGAATCTAATCCCAGCTACTCTGAAGGCTGAGGCAGAACCATAAATTCCAGGCCAGCCCGAAAAACTGAGCGAGACCCTATTTCAAAACAAAATAAATAAGGGCTGAGGATGTAGCTCAGTGGTACAGCATATCCTAGCACACACGAAGCTTGGGTTAAATTTTCAGTACTGTCAAAAACAAAATACAAACAAAAAACACTATTTTGTGGTGTGTTTTGAATACATTAATCAGGACTGTGGTACCGCACCCGTTTCTGCTCTTCGGGAAACCCACACGCGCCCAATCCCACTGCATTACCTTTGGGTATGTTATGGCGGGCCCTCTTTTCATCAGTAACACGTAGTCTTCCAACGCTGGCCTCCGCAGCATAAAACGCTTACCAAGGGAACTCGTCAGTATCTGGCCGGGGAACTTTCCTACGATCTTGCTGAATGGGACTGACCCCCACGTACTGTTTAGGTGTCCGACGTTGCTCAACCTAAATAACTTTTTAAAGTGATTTTCTCTCTTCCCAGTCTCAGCTAAAATCAGCTCCCCAGCACGAAAGGGTCCTTCTCTAGAGGCTGGGCAGGAAGGGGAGACGTAAGGCTCTCCGGCCTCGCCCGCGGCCCGGGCCAGGGCGGGCAGCGAGGGAAACCCGGCGTCCCAGTGCAGGGCATCGGGCTGGTTCTGCTCTCCGCCCGAGTCCCCGCGATCTCCAGGAGAGGACACCTCCCGCGGCGTCCGCAGCCCGAGGTTTTCCAGCGACGAAGGACATCCGACCCCAACGTCCCGGCCGCGGAAAGGGAGAGCGGGGGACGACGCCGATCCCGAGGCTTCCCTTCGGGCCGCCTCGAGTTCGGGCTCTGCATCCCGTACGTCTCTAGGCGAGGACTCGTAACACAGTGACCCGGCTTCCTCAAAAGACTGCGGCCTGACGGGGCGCAGAAATGAATGAGTCCCCAGCCCTGGCCGCCTCCAAAGGCGCCGCAGCCCTAGCGCTTCAGGACAGCAGCGCCCAGCTGCCAGCATGATGCCCCGCGCAGTCGCAGTCGCAGTCGCAGGCGAGTGACGTCAGACAGGCGGCCCCGCCCCTCGCCGCTCGCTCACTGTGCAGAGACAGGGGCAGGGGGTTGCTGCAGCGCGGAAGAGCGCGTGACTGCGTCCGCGCGCCGATCGTTGTTCCTCGGCCCTGGAGCAGTAGCTGTTGCACGATCTTTTAGTTTTTCTGCGCGGGGGCATATATTTTCTCCCCGGAAAGTGGAATAAGGAAAGAATTTACCCCTGAACGGCTCCGCCAGCCCTGCCCGGAGACAGGCGGATAAGAAAAACAGAACTTGTCAAAGTGCAGTGTAGGTTAAAATCCTCTAGGAGGCTGAGCTCGTCTTCCTCCTGAAGACGAGCGTCCGCCTCAGTCCCTTTTACCTGGGCTGTGACACCTCCTTATCTCACCACTCCGTCGCTGCCTCCGCAAGCTAAAAATCCACAAAGTTCGATTAAGTGACAGTATTCGCTATGTGCTTATTCATCAGAATTTTTAAAATAATTAAAATATAACATTTAGGATGGACATGGTGGCACACGCCTGCAATCTCTGCACTCGGGAGGCTGAGGCAGGAGGATCCTTGAGAGGTCGAGGCCAGCCTGAACTGCGTAGCGAGACCCTGTCTGAAAAAGACCGAAACAAAGCAAAACAAAACAAAACAAAACAAATAGAAGCTTCTTAAAATACGAAATGGTATCTTTGGGGTCCAAAGCTAACATTAAATATCATTAGTCTGTCTGCTTAATACTAATAGTCTTCCAGAAGTTTATTGTGAGTCTGGCAATACCAGGCACGTTATCTATCAATCGGTCTATTCATCCATCCATCCATCCATCCATCCATCCATCCATCCATCCGCGGTACTGAGGGTTGTAGCTCTAAGGTACATACCCGATCGGGAATTTAGGATCCTCTTGAAGCCTCAGCTTCCCGAGTTGCTAGCATTATAGGCATGAGCCATCAACCTGGGTTGGACTCTGATTTAAATTTACAACTGTTAGAGGCAAGTATTCCTGTTTGGTACTGAAGAAAGCTTATCAAGGGAATTAAATAAGATGGGCGGGATCCCTGACAAGATAGCTGACAGTTGGACTGGCAGAGTTTCCTTCCGAGGTCAAATACATTCAGCAGCCCTTGCTCTTTGAACCGGAATGCCCTTTTTATAAAGACTTGCCAACAGTGCAATTGAATTTAAAGTCCAAGAATGTTTAAAGGGCCATGGATTTAACATCAACTCAGTTTAAAGTTAATAAAATAAACTATGTTAGTACTGTCTGGGACATAAATTAATACCTTCTAGGGCCAGGATATAGCTCAGCAGTACAGCGTCTGCCTGGCAAGTGTGAGGTCGTGAGTTTGATACCAGTACCAAAAAACAAATCAAAAACAGAAACACCCTTCTGATTTGTAGGACATCAGCCACTGTAAACTCCACCGGAAATTGCTCTCCCGTTACTTAAACTGCCTGCCCTATTTATTTATTTATTTATTTAACAGGCTCTCAGTCACTAAATTGTCCAGGTTGAGCTGTTGTAGCTCAGTATAAATACAATGGCTTACAGCAGCAGAAATGTGTTTCCACAGTTCAGAGGCAGGGAGTACTGCTTTAGTTGGACCACGCTTCCTTGGAAGCCTCTAGGGCAGATTGGGGGTATGGTGCTGAGACTGAACCTAGGGTATTGCTAGTGTTAGGCAAGCTCTCTGCTGCTAACTACCCTAACCCCTGGGGGAGAATTCTTTGCCTCTTTCCCCAGTCTTTAGTTTTTGTTCCTGACTTCCTATGACTTTCTTGGGTGTCTGTTCCTCCTCTTGTGTTTCTCTGTCCTTTTTTTATTTGAAGGATACCAGTGAAATCCAAGATGAGACATCATGTTGAGATTTGTAACCAAATTACATTTGAAAGATCTTATTTCCCGCAGGACATGGTGGCGCACGCCTGTAATCCCAGCACTTAGGAGGCTGAGGCAGGAGGATCCTTGTGAGTTCTAGACCATCCTGGGCTACAGAGTGGGCTCAAGGCCAGCCTGACCTGCATAGAGAGACTCTGTCTCAAAAAGACAAAAAAAAAAAAAAAAAAAAAAAGACAAGACAGTTTGAGATAATAGTTACAAATTTGGCCAGGTATGCATGGTGGCACACTCCTGTAATCCCAGCACTTGGGAGGCTGACGCAGGATTGCTGCAAGTTTGAGGCAAGCCTGGGTTGCACAGTGAGTCCAAGCCTCCCCCCAACCCAAAAAAAAGTTACATGGGGATGACTCGGCTAGGGAACAATTATTCAATAACCTGGCACTGTCAACTTCCTACGTGGAATTACTGATCACAAATTTAAAGTGGCTGAGTCATGACAGAGTGGTTGGCTTTTCTCTAGTCACTCTTGGTATCTGTGGATGGAGCGTTAGCCTGCAGTTTGCTAAGGAAGGAGTCTGCTGTGGGAAAGAGGCATGGGAGTTTAGGGTTACAGTGACGTTATTTAAAGCAGCAGACAAAGAAGTGCAGCCTTCAGGGTGAAGGGACGAGGGCTGGTGAAGATCTGGGATTAAGGACAGAAGCGTCTGAGTTTGGGAACGAGTGAGTGAGCTGGAAAGAGTAGGTGGTCGGAGAGGGGGCTGTGGAAATTGAGACTATGGAAGTAGTACAGCTGTAAGGTTCAGGACTCAGCAAGGTCATTGCATGGGGTGGACCTGGACATTGGTATGCCTGAGCACCAAAGGGTCATCATATGAACCTTACATGTGTTCACTGGGTGAGGTCATCAGTGCCCACAGATAACTTGGGTAGGCTAGCTCTCTATCTGAAAAAAATGAAGATATTGATAGTTTCTACACTGTAGAAACATTGTGATAATTAAATGAATCCATATAGTGCCTGACACGTGGTAAACACACATTAAACTTTTATTTGTACTTATACGTTTATGATTAATAAATCTATAACTCTAGCTCAACACTTTTTTTCATATAGACTCGTATCTGCTTTTTAAAAAAAATTTTTTTTACACAGTCTCACTATATAGCCCAGGTGGACCTTAAACTCACTGTGTGTCTCAGACTGGGCTAAGACTCACAGTGATTTTCCTGTCTCAGCCTCCAGGGTCCTCCTATAATAAATGTGTGCCACCACACTGTCTTGCTTTCTTTTTTGTCTTTTTGAGACAGCGTCTCACTATAGAGAGAGCTTAGGCTGGTCTTGAGCTCACTTTGTAGCCCAGGCTGGCCTCAACTCACAATGATCCTCCTGCCTCAGCCTCCCAAGTGTTGGGATTCCAGGCGTGTGCCTCCATGCTCGGCTACACTGGCTTTCAAATCTTCTTTTATAACAAAAATTCCTTTAAAAGTCACCTAGGACCTTGATCTTGCCAAGTTCTCTAGTTAAATCTTTATCTTACCATAGCTTTATCATGTCTCACTTCTGAATTTGGCATAAAAATTTGGTTTTCAGGACATCTTAATTCTCTTGGGCTTTCATCCTGCCTTCTGTTACCCCCTTCTCAAGATCCTTTGCTGGTTCCTTCTCGTCTCCCCAATCCCCTAGGTTGGTGCTTAGTTCTCCTTTTGTCCTCATCCAACAAAACCTTTCCAGTTCCTTTCAAAGGCTTTCAAATGGCATTTGTATGTTAACACAGCCCAAACTGATGTGTCTAATTGTAGCTAGGTGTGGTGGTGCACACCTGTAACCCCAGCACTCGGGAGGTTGAGGCAGGAGAATCACCGAGATTTTGAGGTCAGCCTGGGCTATATAAGTGAGTTCAACGCCAGTGCAGACTACATAGTGAGACCCTGTCTCAAAAAACTAAAAAAAATTGTGACCCACCTCAACTCATATCCAACTCATATAATGAAATCACCGTTGATTTATTTCCTCAGATCCTCTCTCTCTTTTGGGGGGCGGGTACAGCATGTTGCTTTGTAGTCTGCCCGCAGGCCTTGAACTCACTCTGTAGCCTAAAGTAGCTTGGAACTCCAATGATCCTCCTGCTTCAGCCTCCCAAGTGCTGGGATTACAGGCATTGCCACCACACCCAGCCCTGCTGATGTATTTCTGGTACCCAGCTAGGTAGTGCCTGACTCACAGCAGATATTCAGTTTAAGTGACTGAAGGAAACTAACTGCTAATTAGAAATCTCACAGTTAGCATTTATATACTAAAGATACCATTGTTTTCTTCCACAAACCAGCCATTCCTCCAGGATTCACCATCCTAATAAATTCGATCACCAAATACTGGCTTGGGCCAGGCGTGGTGTGCACAGCTGTAATCCTAGCACCTGGGAGGCTGAGACAGGAGGATCGTTGCAAGTAGGAGACCAGCCTGGGCTACAAAGTGAGCTCAAGGCCAGCCTAAACTGCATAGTGAGACCCTGTCTCAGTAAGATGAAACAAACAACATTCTGGCTTGCCGTAAGAGTTAAGAGGCGTTATCCTTGGCCTTTCTGCTCTCATTTACAATTTGAAAGCTGTTCCTTGTGCTTAATAAATGTCCCTTGAAACTATTCTCCAGTCCACTTGGTGAGTGGATGGTGGGACTTCAAGACTGCCCTAGCTTCTTACATATTCATCACTCTGTTTCCGAGTAATTTTTTGTTTTT